ATATATATATATATATATATATATATATATATATATATATATATATATATATATATATATATATATATATATATATATATATATATATATATATATTATATATATATATATATATATATATATATATATATATATATATATATATATATATGTATATATACACATATACATATACATACATACATATACAGTGCTCGAAGTGAGGTGGAATGCGGCGGGATCCCGCCACTTTTTTATAAATCTCTATATATAACAATGATTAAGTGGGATTGTATTTTTAATTTACCAAATACCATCCTGTTACTTTTTTTTTTCCACTTCGAGCTCTATATATATATATATATATATATATATATATATATATAATATATATATATATATATATATATATATATATATACTCTTGCATGGTAGTTAAAAAGAGTTTCCCATAAACTGTAGTTTTAAAGAGCGCGTTAATAAACCAGACCAGAAAAACTTTTAAAAGTTAAATTTTTTTTTTTTTAAAATGATAGACTGCCTGCCCAAACCAAACCCTCAGTCGATGTAGCAGCACTCCCTTGCAAGTCAGGCTATTTGTCAGTCGTTGTAGCAGCTCTCACTTGCGAGTCAGGCTATTTGTCAGTCGATGTAGCAGCACTCTGTTGCGAGTCAGGCTATTTGTCAGTCGATGTAGCAGCACTCCGTTGCAAGTCAGGCTATTTGTCAGTCGATGTAGTAGCACTCCGTTGCGAGTCAGGCTATAAGATAGTCGATGTAGCAACATTTACGCATGTTTTAAAAATGTTTTTTAATAAAACAAAAACAAAAACAACACTAATAAAAAAAAACTTTCTAGTCGTTATAATTGCGGTTTTTTAAAAAATTTTAAAAAACAATAAAATTTAATGTACTTCCGCATTAATTTAATTGCTTTGACATTTTGACGACAATCAAATACAGCTTAAGAGACGAGGTAATTAAAATTGTAGTCGAAAGAGACTTTTTTTACATTAAAACGCTCTTTCGACTACACTATAAGGATATATATATATATATATATATATATATATATATATATATATATATATATATATATATATATATATATATATATATTAGTTATGTGCCAATTAATTGGCATCGGCTAAATCGGCCATTTTTTGCACAATCGGTATCGGCCTTTTTTACCGATTTTCCAACTGATGGCATTTTGATATTTTTATCCTGCATTATTTTTTGTGCATTATTATAATAATTAAATAATAAATAAACTAAACTTTGTGCATTACTTAGAATTTTTTGGATAAATTTTTATTTTGACTTTGTTTACAGGCAAAAGCTTTAAAAGTAACCTATTTAAACATTGTTATCTATATATTTTTAATTCTTTTTCACTCCCAATAAGGTTTCAAGCAACCACTATCAAGTTGGGATTAGCTAGAAAAAAAGAGTTGAGTTATAGAGCAATAAGGTGGTTGACAGAAGATTTAAAAAGTTGAAGGTTATATTGTCAGGAATTGAGTCAGGAAAACATGAAGATGGGGCAGAATTCCAAAGGGTTAAAGTGCGAAGGTTTTATTGTCCAGAGTTGAGTCAGGAAAACATGAAGATGGGGCAGAATTCCTAAGGGTTAAAGTGCGTGGAAATAAGCTAGACAAATAAACGTTTTTGGAGCATGAAAAGACAGATACAGTTGAAGAATGAGACTTTAATGTCAAGTCCAGCAAGAATGAGTTTTGATTGATGGAACTAAAGATGAAAGCTCCTTTGAGCAGCAACCATGATAATATTTGTAGAAAAGAGAAAGGCATGCAACTTTACGATGATGGTAAAGAGGCTCAAGCTTTGCAGATAAACCGGGTCCAACTCTGTTTACAATGCGTTTTTAAACCTTATCTTGAAGAGAAAGAGCATCATTAGAAGAACCAGCCCAAATATGATAACAGTATTCCATACAGGGACAAATAAGAGATTTGTAGAGGTAGGGCATGGAATCAGGAGGGAGAAAATGGTGAGCGTGATAAAAACAAGCAACCTTAGCAGATGCTAATTTAGCAATCGATTGTATATATGGTTTCCATGAAAAGTCAGTAGTAAATGATAATCCAAGAAGACTTAAAGAAGTGGAATCAGTGAGAGGGTTGCCATTCATCAATAGAGGAATGTTGACAGTACTACAATAGTTATTTGTCTGACAGTAAGTTATTTGACTCGAGATGGAATGTGAAAAATTTGTTTATCAAAGACTCTAAGACCTTGCTAATAACAGAAAGAAGACTGGTTGGACAATAATCGGAGGGGTCAGTAAGTTTACCAGAGTGTTTAAAAATTAGAACAACAGATGCCATTTTCCAGCAGGCAGGAAAACAATATTCAGTCAAGCACTTATTAAATAGTTAAGAGAAAATTGAAGAGCGTTCTGTAGAACAATCTTGTAAGACTGACAGGAATGTTGTCTGGACCACAAGCCATAGAAGAGTTTAATCGAGATATGACTATGAGTAATGGAAGCTGAAATGATTCAAATGTCTAACACTAGGTTAACTTGTTTAATTAGAATAAAAGGAAGAGAATGGCCATAAGGTTCGAAAGCCAGATTAGAAGATAATTTTTTTACAAATAGTTTAGCCTTATTTTATGAATTTAAGTATAGCCAAGTATCAAGTATATTTCTGAATTTATAATTTTTTTATTTCAATTCACCTCCCTTTAATTGAAGATTCTACTTTAGTTATGGTTACAACCCATTTTCAACTTTAGAACTCAGAAACACAAACCTTGATGAACAATGCCGCTGCGTGTAGAAACAAGTTAAGCGCTGTATTACCAGGGACGTGGTGGGGATCCAACATTAAAAATTAAAATAATTCTAAAAACAATTTCTTTATCTAAAAATAATTTATGTCTAAACAACATATGATTGTTGTTTAGATATCTGAATTACTAATAAATTAATAAAGAATTCTTAGTAAACTACATATGCATATTTTCTTTTTTTAAAATAAAAATAAAAAGTGTTCCTCTAAAATAGTATTTATTTTTTTGAAAGTTTTTTTATCATAGTAGAAAAAAATTAAAATTTATATTTTTTTAACTGAGTTTTTCTAATATCTTTTTAAAATAATTATTTGGCTTTGATTTGGGTCCAAGTATTTGTGTACCAATACCAATTTAAAGTTGTATGGTTTTATATTTTCAAATTTTTAATAATTTGTTAATTCATCGGTATCAGCATCGGTATCGGCATCAGCCAAAAAAGTGATATCGGTACATCACTTATATATATATATATATATATATATATATATATATATATATATATATATATATATATATATATATATATATATATATATATATATATATATATATACACTTCATCTTTGTGAATAAAAATGTCATCAAATATAAAACTTTTGACAAGCACTATAATAAGTAGGAGAATGATAATGTGTTATCAAATCATTAATATTGTTAAAAAAAACTTAGATAATTTAACTTTTAATAAATGAGTTGGATACTTGTTAAGTCAAGATAATAGTTACATTGCACAAAAATTACATAGCACTTTTATTTCTGCCTAGAGCTGTTTGTATGCAAATCAATTTTTGTGTTTTTTTTTTATTCTATGTTTTTGTTTTAATTAATTTCTTTACTCTTGAGTGAACTTTTAAAACTTAAACATGTTAATTGCTTTTGAAAGGCATGCCTATATTTTGCCTGCATTTTAACATATTAATTATTTAACTTATATTGTAATACGGATTACATAACTTATGTCATGATACAAGTTATGGATGAATTATATGGAATAGTTTTAAAAAAAATTTGCAAAAACTGTTTGATTTTGTTTTTTAATTTTTGACATCATATTGCATTATAATCAATTAAATTTTTTTAAGCACGTTAAATTATATATTTTTTTATTTAAAAAAGAAACTGTTTTAAACTTGAAGTTTGCCATGTATGTTAAAATTATATCACAATAGGAGTTTTTAAAGAATAGTTAAATAAGAAACATCAACATATTTAAAAACCTTTTTAGCAATAAGTTTATATTTTGCCTGTAAAATTTGAGTTGCTCAAGTGTGGAGGCTGTATATATTGTATGTATATATATTTAAACCTATCAACCCTGTTGCATAGTAACCTTAGCAAAACTTCTGAAAAAATTTTCATCTTTGCAGATAAGTTTAATAATATTTTTAAATTTAGTAAGGCAGCTTATATACAGCTATACAACGTTTAAAAATCTTATGGAAAGCAATGTGATATATAAAGTGTCTTGCATTGAGTTCAGCAGACCTTGTTTTAAAGTGTTATGCTGCTAGCATCTTATGTACCCCTAAAATGATTTCCTTTAAGCGACGTTTTATTATTTTTTAACTTTTAAATTAGTCTATAAGCGATAAGATAAAAGAAGTAATTAATTTTATAAAAAAACCACTTCAACTTATGAATTACAGTTATGTAAAAAAGTTTGTTACGAAATTTTGAATTACAGTTATGTTGGATATAAGCTCTCTTTACAAATAAAAAAATTCAGATAAAATTATAAATAAAGCTTTATTAACTTTTAGATCAAAATATAACAGAAAACAAATTTAATTTTTGTTTTGTATACAAAGTTATTAATCAAAACATAAAATAAGAAACATAAAAGAAATATAATAAAAAAACTTTTATTTATTATCTTGCAAGCACAAGAATAATTATTTATACAACTTTTTATAGCAATAACAAAAAAATTACTTAAATTTAATAAATAAATTTTCCCTTTTTAATTTTTTAATTTTTAATAGTTTAATAATATTCAGACTTTCCAATAAAGACTGATATGTCAAAAAAGAGGCTTCTTAATGCAGACGCACATTGCAGGCTCCATGAAATTAATAACAAGGCACATTTTAATAACAGTGTTTATACTTTACTAATGAGTATTTCTATATAAATGAAAACAAACTAGGGTATAAAAAAGGTTACTTTTCCTATTCTTTTCAAATTTCTTAAAGTTTGAAAGTACATATGTAAATATGGATAGTACTTTGAAATGCCGCAGCAGAGTCACTTTAAAGACTTTTAATCGCTGGGAGTTTGCAAAGGAATTTCAAATTGAAACCATTACAGAAGAAGAAAATACTTATGTAGTTAAAATGAAATGTAATTTATGTGCTCTTCATAGAAATACTATTTTATTAAGAATTAGTGGAGCAGTCAAGGCAGCTGCCTTGCTATTTATAAATGGTACGAGTCATATTAAAAAAGATAGCGCTAGTAGACATATAAAAGGAGCGACTCACCAATATGCAATGCATTTGGAAAATGAAGATTTTGACAAATATAAAGATGGAACAAAAAATGTAAGGGTTTAAAATGATGTTTTATTTAAATATCTTGTTTTATTTTCAATTCATTTTAATTTAAAAGCAAATTTGGGCATAAAATCTTAAAAGCCTACAAAAAATAATTTTAGTCTTATAATAGACTTATAATGTGTGTTTACTTCACACATCAAAAATCGCCTTACTTTGGTTGCTATCTAACTTTTATTTATTTAAGAATGGTATTCTTTTAAGAATAATAATAATTTGTCATTTAAAAATAAAGAGCAAAAAAAAAATGCTCAATTTTATTTTTACAATTTTTTTGAAAATAATATTTGTTGTGACTCAGTATATAAATCAATCTTCTGATACATTAACCATCTCCCAGAAATTCTCATATACAAGGTGGCATTGTTCGCTGATGATACTACCATTTATTCTTGTCTTGATAAGAAGCCAACACTATCTGATTGCTTTGAGGGGGCATTTGAGCTTGAAGTGTATCTCACTTTTGTTGCAGAATAGGACTCTAAGTGACTACTTAACTTTAACTCAGATAAAGCTCAATTTTTTTCAGCTAATTGTTATTGCAAAAACCTAGATCTTCCTATATGTATAAACAGTAATGTACTTGATGAGTGATCTACCTTTCGTCTTTTAGGATTTTACTTTTACTTCCAATTTTTCTTGGAAATTAAGTCAAATAGGTTGCAAAATTTGCATCTCTTTATCATGCTTGCTATTTTCTTACTCTGGATTCTACTCTTTTTCTCTAATATCTCAAATACGTTCTTGTATGGAATACTCTTGCCATAACTGGGGTGGATCTTCCAATGAAGTCCTTTTTTTTTAGACAAGGTCCAATTGCATTGTAAACATAGTTAGACCTGCTCTTGCAGCCAACCTCTAACACATCATTGTAAAGTTACTTTTTTTTTTATCTTTTTTGTAAATACTATAATGGGCACCATCTTTTAAAATTTGTTCTCCTATTAAATCTCATCCTTTTACTGTAACTGTTCCTAAGTGCTCCAAAAGTTCTTATTAATCTAGTTTTTTTCCTCGAACATCAGTACTTTGTAATTTGCTTCCTTCATCTTGTTTTCCTGAATCATATTATTTGCGATCTTTTAAGTCATCTGTTAATCGTTATCTTGCTTTATATATTTCATCTTTTGTCTTCCAGTAACTTCCATCTTTAATAGTGATTGCTAGCAGCAACTACTATTAAAATTGGAATATATAAAATTTGTTATGAACTTTAGTTTTGGTTATTAACTCCCTTTTACATTTTTTTTAATACTAGTTTTATTTGAAAATGTTATGGTCACTCGTAAATTATATTCAGTTCCTATAATCATTATAGATAGTACTTTTTGATGCTTATTAACACTAAATGACAAAAATGACAATTAACATAAAATTAAAATAAAAATGCTGCTACTTTATAAAATATTACTTTATCAACTTAGAAATATTATTTGTTGCAATAAAATTTATTATGTCTGTTATTTGTGTGTAAATAACGTTTTAAGTTATAAATGCAGTGAATATATATTTTAAAAAAATATTATTTTTGACAATAAAAGTTTCATAAGCTGACTTATAAAATGGTATTAAATATTCTGTCAAATTAGATGTTAAATAAATTTTAAATAAAATTTCAAATACTAATTTTTATTTTTAATTATTTAATTTTAAACAAACACTACAACTATCTTTATATTTCAGGGTATGAAAATTAAAAAATACTTATGCTGGAAATAAAGTTTAAAAGTTAAGTGACCAAACTTGTGGTAAAAGGTTATGTGGCCAAACTTGTTGATTTTTATGATATATAGAAATGAAAAGCATTTAAAGTTGATGTTTTTATGTAACTTAAAAAAATTTTCTCAAATATAAATTGTTGTATCTGATATTAATTGAAGTAATTAAAAATATCTCTTTTTGCAAGTTTTGCGCTGTTTTTAACTTATATTCTTTTCAAAAACACAACAAGTTATTATATTTTACTGCAAAATTCATTATTGATGGTAATGGAATAAGAGCTCAAAAAATATTATTAGTGAAATTGAAAACAGCGCTTTATCAAGACGAAATGATTCGTTTCCCTCCTTTCGTCTCCTGAAAATACATTCACAAGCTAAAAGATAAAATAAAATAAAATGTTGTTAATATTTGCTAATCAAATTGATAAATGTCTAAATATTATTTTATGTATATCAGTAGGGGAGTTCAAATTCTACATTTTTTGTTTAATCAATTATTCTTAATTATTTTAGAAAAGTTCAAAAAACAATTCAATTTTTGCTGTTTTTTTGGTTGACCTTCTATATTTAACATTTTAAAAATATTCCTCATAAAAACAAGAAACCTTTGCATCATATTCTTTGTGTGTAAAGTTACGCACTTTATGTTAAAATTTATGCAATTTAAATTTTTATTCGCTAACATTGAATAAAATTGAATGAAATTTGCATTTAAGCAAAAATAAGTCTTACATTAGTGTAAAAAACTTGCTTTCACTAAAAAATACTTCGTCATTAATTTGCAAACTAAATTATATAATAGTAATAAACTAGTAAATTAATTAATCATAAACTTGTAAATAAATAAATCAAAATTAATAAACTTCTTTAGAAATCTCCCTTTATAAATTTCCAAGTATCTACTTGTTTTATTAAATACTATATAGTATGCACTGTACAGTCTTCTTTATTTGAAATTTAATACCAGCGACAAAAAAAGAACTGGCTGGATGGTCATTTTTAGGTTGGCATGAGTGATTTAAAAAATTGGTCCTTTTCTGTTATTTAAATTTAAATAAAAACAGTGAAAAGAATGTTTTGAATTAATAAATGAATTAAAAAAATAGTTAAAAATATGTTTTGGAAAAATATTTAAAAAATTATTTAAAATTTAATGAAGTAATAAAAGAAACCCCAGCAAAATAAATGTTTAATTCAAATTTATAGATAAAGTAATATTTTTTTCACCTTCTCATTAAGTTTTTTCTTTAAGTAAATATTTTTTGTGATTTTTTTTTTCTTCTAATTTTTCTAACTAACTTTACCTATAAACAATCATTTGAGTTATCCAGTAAAGTTACTCAGCTAATAAATTTACTTTATGTATTAAAGTATCAAATATACACTTATGTAATAAAATATGCTCAAAGATATTTACTTACCAAAGTTAGCCATAGAAATGTTTCTATTTATCACATAATGTTAGCACATAATAATCTCCTAACTAAAAATTATTTTAACAACAAGTTTTTAATAAAATATGAAAAACATCATAACATTTTGTTTTTAATATTTTCATTTTATTTAAAACAATACGAAGATTGAACAATTTCTAAAAATACACAAATTGTTTTTAGAAATTCTTTTTAAAAAGAAATCTATTAGAAAAATTTTGGGAGATTCTCTTGCAAATTAATTCAAATAATCTATAATTAAAATGTTTAAAAAATTTCGAAAAACTCAAAATAATTTGCGCTTTCTTACAATGATTTTATATTTAATTTAATGGAAACTGCTCCTCGTTATACCCAATGACATAGTGAAGATCCTTCCCAAAAATCAAACATAGATCTAGCTGCAGTAACATATAATTCAAAAGATAGTGCAAATAAGGGAAAAAGTTTTATTTAAATTGCAGACATTTTTATTAAAGTTTTTTTTTATAAAAAATTAAAAAAATTATTATAGTTTTTATCAAAATTTAAAAAAATAAATTTAAGCATATAATTTAGTCTACCCCTCCCCCTCCCCCCACCGCTCTCTTCCCTGCAATTGGGAAGCCAGCAGCAAATGTAAGGATTTTTTTTTATATATTTTAAATAATACCTAATGGAAAATTTTTTAATTATTTTTGAGCCCTTATGACAGGTTTTGGTAGGGGGTCTTGAAACTAATAGCCACAGCTCTGCCATACATAAACTACACTTAATTGATTACTGTGACTCTAATAGATTGTGCAATTCTGTAATTTTCTGGAAATCTTTACTTATATATATATAATATTCCAAAAAAAAAAAAATTAAAAAAAAAAAGTTTTTTCGATAAATAAACTTCAATTCAGAAAATTAAAGTTAATTTACATAGTAACTAAAATTTGGATTTTTCTGTTCCATACCTGATTTTATTTCAACTTAATTTATTCTTTCATAACATTACTAAAAAAAAGCCAATTTTTGTTTACAAAATATTTATATAGATTAGAAATAAATAAGAATAAATTGGAGATTGCCAGTTTTATAAAAATAATAGACAAAACATATATGAGTTTCCATGCGTGGATTTTTGGAAATGTCCTTTGTTCTATTAAAGTAAATTGTAACTAACAACTTGAGCATTTTAAATTCATTGTTAAATATTAATCATTAAAATTATTGAAATAACATTGATGTCACAACTGAGATAATGAAAAGTTTAATTCTGGAAAAACATTTAAAATATAGCTATTGATGTTTCAAAACTTTGATATTATTTTAGTAATAGTTTTTTCAATATTAACAGTAATAATTCTCAATATATCTAATCCCTGTACTGTGTTTTCAATGTTATTTTAGTAGTGTTCTAGTTGTTCTAATGATGGTTTTTCAATTATTATGTGGCCTTATAATATAATCATTTATGCTTGCAATTATAAAAATTATATTATTGGTAAATAATATAATTTTTATAATTTTATTGTTATGAGTATATTTCTAAAACTTCTAAAAAGATCAATTAAAAGCATCGATGCAGTTTTTTTTTCATACGACAGTTATTTATATCAAATGGATTTTCTTTCAATTTTAATTTTTGTATTTTATGAATAATTATTGCTTGGTTATTATTAAAAAAAAAATTTTCAACAATTTTGAACTTTAAAAGTTTGAACTTGTTTTATATTTGGTTTTTTATAATATTTAGTTGCTACTTTTTATTTAAGGCGAATTGAAAAAAAAAATACTCTAAAATAATTTTTTTTTTCAACTAATGCAAAGTATCAATTCATAAATATTAACAATTTGATGTTTTATGTTGATGTTATTGTTTTGTTATTATAATTAATAATTATAAGCTGAATATAGCTATAATTAATTATAGCTATATTCATGCAAATATTTAAATCCAAAAATAGAAAAATCCAATAATATTATGTATAATATAAAATCTCATAAAAATTTTAAGGTTTTTATCAATTAATAATTAATTTGAGACAACTTTAGGATTTTTAAACACAGACAATGTTGGAAGATCAATTATTAAAATTTAAATGACATAAGTTAAAATATTCTTTTTTATATACATTGTTATTTATCTTTTTGAGTTTATAAAAACTTTCATGGTGGTTAAGTAAGAAAATTAAGATCCAATGCGTTGTTAATTTTATTTTTTTATGTAAATTTTGAATATTGTTGAATTTTCTTTAACTTGCTAATAGTGTTCCTAATGTTTTTTTATATCTGTATTAAGGATATTGACATGAATATTGATAGCGTTGTTCCAATGAAGAACAAAAGACTCTCTGTTGAGAGGATTTATCAAAAAAAATCTCAGTTAGAGCATATAATTTTGCGTCCTGATTCATACATTGGATCTACAGAACCATGCCAACAAAGTATGTGGGTTTGGGATGATGAAAGCAGTTCTATTATTTCAAAGAATATTACATTCTCTCCAGGGTTATACAAAATTTTTGATGAAATCATTGGTAAGAGAATTTTATATATATATATATATATATATATATATATATATATATATATATATATATATATATATATATATATATATATATATATATATATATAAATGTGTGTGTGTGTGTATGTAAGATAACATCTCTAATAACATGTGTGTAAGATAATATCTCATTCTAAAATAGCCTACTGCCAGGGGCAGTATCTTTCTTTATCTTTTTCTACTTTTTCTGTAAATGCAGTATGCTATATAGGTAGGAAAAACAAGTAACCATATGTAACTACGTATGTAGTGGATGATGAAAACGTGCTTGGTGCAGCACGTTACTATTTTTAATTCTAAAGAAATACAAATATAACTTTTACACAGCGTTTTGGTAAGCAATCACTTTTATCTTTTACCTTAAACGCTGACTTTACACGTGTGAGTTTAAAGTAATTTTTTAAAGCATTAACAAGTTCATTTTTATTCTTGTTTTTCTTGAAGATAACTACCTCTATTGTTATAATTTTATCTCTTTACTTTTTTTAACAACTAAAATTTCTGTCATTAAAATGTTTGCATTTAGGTTCCTTAAACATGTGTTAAAAGCACACAGGTTCACTGCAGTTGCTACCTCTATGTGTCTTCTAGTCAATGGTGTGCAAGCAACTAAAACTCGCTTATTTAAAGTTTAAAATATAGTGAAGTTTGAGACTTGTATTGTTTTTTCTGTTAGTTTAAAGACCTTTTGTATAATCTACTCTGCTAACTTTAAATCATCTTTTTCAGAATTTTTTTTTTTTTTTAATTTTCTTTTCATCTTAATGTAACACAGGTTTTTTGTTTAAGCATTGATGCAGATTCGACTATAGATTTTGTTATTTATTTTTTCAGTAAATTCTAGAGCTCCTTGACTATTTAAATATTTATAAAGTAGACAAAGTTGTTAAATATTCTAAAATTAACTCAAGCTTTAATCGCTTTTTATCTTTTGAGTCATATTTCTGATATAAAGAAAATGTTGTCATTTTTCTTTGTTAAGTTTTTTTAAGAAACTTTTACTTAAATAACCTTACTGATTTTTAGCATCGTTTCTTCTGGCAGGATAATGTTTGTTCATCACTAATAATTTTAATTATCATTTTCTTTTAGTATCATTAATCTTGTTTTTTAAAAAAAAAACTATTTGGTATTGACCATTATTTCTTGTTGTTGTTTACTTTAATTAATAATGTTAATGTTGCAATTGAATTAAAACAATAGTTGTTAATAAAATGTGTGTATTTTATTACCTCAACTAACAAACCATTTTGTCTTATCTCATTTATTACAACCAAGATTTGAACGGAGCTAAGTTATTTACTTTTTATTGATTAGATGTATTGAAAAGTCTATCAGAATTTATTTTTTAATTAGAATTTATTTTTTAGTAAACGCAGCTGACAATAAGCAACGTGATGTTAAAATGAATACAATCAAAGTTAATATAGATGTGTAAGTGAACTTATATGCTTTTTATTTTAACATTATCTTTTGAATAATTTAATATTATTGTTTATTTACTTTGACATTTAATTTTAGTGAAAAAAATATTATAAGTGTCTGGAATAATGGCCGTGGTATTCCAGTAGAAATGCATAAAGAGCAGAATGTATATGTTCCCACACTAATCTTTGGCCATTTGCTGACTTCAAGCAACTATGATGATACTGAAAAAAAAGTTGTTGGAGGAAGAAATGGTTTTGGAGCTAAGTTATGTAATATTTTTAGCACTAAATTTTCTATTGAAACTGGATGTGATGGAAAAAAGTTTAAACAGGTATTTAATTTGTATTAAACACATTTTTTTTTACATTATTAGTAAATATAATACAATATTTTTAGTAAATTTTATTTACTAAAAATATTGTATTATATTTACTAATAATGTAAAAAAAAAAAATTTATGATTATAAGTTAAAAGTAGTATTTATTAAACTTTAAAGTTTATTTTGCAGTTAAGTGAATAAGTTTATTTTAGTTCAAAGTAAATCTATAATAAAAGATCAGATGATATGAGTATGATTAAAATTTTTTCTGTTTTTAATATTTAAATTTTATTAAAAATTTATACCTTTATAATATAATTTATTTTTGTGAATGTAGAGCAGTGGTCTTGAATTATAAAAAACAATTAAGGTATTAATTAAGCAGTGGTGCTGTTGTAGAGTTTTCACTTCATATGGGATAGTTTAACCTTTCTTGAAAGGAATATTGTTATCACATCAAGGGTACTCTAAATTTTTTTTTCCTTATTTTTATCTAAAGAATATTCGCTTGAAAAATCACTTTTCTTTCTATTTTCCTAATTTATACATTTGTATTTTTTTAAGCTTTCTGTTGGTTTTTTTTTTTACCATTAAACTGTTTTTGTTTTTACTTATGCCAACACCAATATATAACAGTTTTCAAAATAAGGTCAATTAGTATGCTACAATAAAATCAAACATGTCTTTTAAAAGCAAAACTCATGATGCATTTATTGAATTATAGTTTAATATGACCAAAGATGTGTTAGGATTTTATCCTTGATCTCTTATACACAACAAGCATCTTCTTTTATTTTTATAATTAAAAATTATTATTGTGTTATACTAGTAATTATTCTTTTACTTTATATTTTATTTTTATTTTAATAATTATTTTATAGAAACTCAAATTGTTTTATATTTAGGTATGGAAGAACAATATGAGTAAAGCTGAGCCTGAACATATTGTAGATTACTCAGGCAGTGATTTCACTTGTGTAACATTTTCACCAGATTTACCTAAGTTCAAAATGGATAAACTAGACAATGATTTTGTTTCATTGTTGAAGAGGCGTGCATACGACATGGCTGGAGTATGCCGAGGAGTTTCTGTATATCTTAATGGTGAAAAACTAAAAGTAAATTTTAAATAAGCTTGTTTAACATTCTTTGAAAAACATATTTTCTTTTTTTTCTTGTCCTTTGCTTTCAAATATACTATAAATATGTCTTAAATTTTGTGCTGTGAAGTCTTTGATTATGAAGTGTATGAAACATTTTTTAAATGATTTATTCCTTTGAATATCTGAGGAATTTCTAAAAATAAAATTTTTAAATTTAAATTTAGCAATTTAATTTGAAGGAAATTAAAATTTCAAAATTATCAATTAGGTAAAATCATTTAAAGACTATGTTGGATTGTATGTCAAGACTGCTTGCAAAACTGAAAATGGGGAAGAACAAGGTCCGAAGATTATACATGAAATTGTTAATCCACGATGGGAGATATGTGTAACAGTTAGTGAGAGTGGGTTCCAACATTCTAGCTTTGTAAACAGCATTGCCACTACCAAGGTAGGTTATTATCTTGTCGAATTGGGTCTTAATGAGAGTCTACAAAAGTTCCTGTTATTTGGATTATTTGATTTTGTGCTGTGTTGATCGAGTTTGTGTAATAATACATATTAGTGAATAGATTTTTAAATAAATATTTTTTTAAAATTAAATTAACTGAACTATAAGTAACATTTTATTTAATTTTTAAAAATATCTGAAAAATTGCTCATGTTGTATTTTTTCCACAAGAATTTGTTATAATTTTTTAATACTTCGTCTTGTTCTATTTGGTTTTTATTAGGGTGGAACTCATGTCACGTACATTGTTGATCAACTATGTGATAAACTAATTGCGACTGTTAAAAAAAAAACTGGTAAAGGTGGTTTTGATATCAAACCATTTCATGTTAAGTCTCATCTTTGGGTGTTTGTTAACACTCTTATTGAAAATCCTACATTTGATTCGCAAACAAAAGAAAATATGACACTGCGAAAGTCTGCATTTGGTTCAACTTGTGAACTTTCAGATAAATATATAAAAATGGTATTTTTAATATTTTCCTTATCAACAAGTGTTTTAATTGGTTTATTATGTATGAACTTAACTTTATTTTAATTTTTGCTAAAAGGTGCAAGATACTGGGGTCTTGGAAAATATTTTATCTTGGGTAAAGTTTAAGAGTGAGGCACAACTCAATAAAAAGGGATCTTCTTCAAAACACAGCAGATTAAAAGGTGTTCCTAAACTAGAAGATGCAAATGATGCTGGCACAAAGAGGTCAAGAGATTGTACACTTATTGTTACTGAGGGAGACTCAGCTAAAGCCCTTGTTATGGCAGGTTTAAGTGTAGTTGGGCGAGATAAATATGGTGTCTTTCCTTTAAGAGGTAAACTGTTGAATGTCAGAGATGCTTCACATTCTCAGGTATTACTATTATTATTTATATTTATTATTATTATTATTATATATATATATATAAATATATATATATATATATATATATATATATATATATATTTGCCATTTGATTGGTAATAATTCTTTGTATAGTAGTTCATGAGTTCATTTTTAAATTAATAATTTTGCACATTGTAAATTATATTTTTTAATGAAATCCATATTATAGTATTTTGATTTGGTATGGTGTATGCTATATAATGATAGTGAACAGTAAATTGTAGTTTTGGTAGATTTTTTTCTGATTCATTTTTGTTAAAGACAAGATTAAAAAAAGATTTCCGCTTTTCAACTTTTTTGAGATTATATTTCTTAGGTGTGATTAGAGATTGCTTTTAAAAGTGTCTAAAAAACTAAAGAAAAATGTTTTTTTTTTTTTAATAAAATTAAATGCTATTGATAAAATCCAAATTTTTGCTCTGTAAAAATGCTAGTTAATGGTATCATCAATACTAATTCCTTACTTTTTCTTTCTTTTTTTTTTTTAATTAAAACTTTCCTTATCCTTAAAACTATAAATGGCAAAAATAAAACGATATAACAAAGTTTTGAGATAGCAAAAATATTTTATTAAAATATTGTTAAAGCAGGGAAGGGTGATAAAATATTTGCTACTACCTTTTTAGTTAGTTGGTATTAGTTAATCTTTTATACTTATTAAGTAATACCTATTCTACGATCAAATCATTTCATTTTAATAGAATTACAAAAAAAAAGATTCTACTTTAAGTGGTAGAAACAAACTTGATGGTGATGAGCAGAAAACAAATAGAGGTGAGGTGGTGATGGGGAAAGCCTTAATGGGAGGTTGGGTGAGGTTAGTAACAAACTTAATGGGAAGGAGGTGGAGAAAATTATGGGGACTGGGTGTTGACTAATAAGATTTTTTTCTCTGTGCTAATTTAGCTCATGCAATAACTAATTCTACTTTTTTTTACTTATATTGTAATTAATTTTGAATTTGCTTGTTTTTTCGTATAAAATGTCTTTTTTGATGTTTTCTTTATAACTAAATTAGCTTAATTAAAGTTTATTTTAAATTTTAGTTAGGCTTAGTAAAACTTTAAAATGTTTTTGTTTTGTTTTTCTCTTTGTGCTGGTTTTGCTTTGTTTTAGGAATTAGTCGTAATAAAATAATCATTTGTCTTCTTTAAGATTATGAACAATGCTGAAATAATCATTTGTCTTCTTTAAGATTATGAACAATGCTGAAATAATCATTTGTCTTCTTTAAGATTATGAACAATGCTGAAATAGGAAGTTTAGTTAAGATCATTGGTTTGCAGTTTGGTAAAAAATACGAGAATGAGAATGATATGAAAACATTGCGTTATGGACATCTGATGATTATGGCTGATCAAGATCAAGATGGTTCTCATATTAAAGGTCTTGTCATTAACTTTATACATGCAAATTGGCCAGGCTTGTTGAAAATTCCTTTTCTTGAAGAATTTATTACACCTATTATTAAGGTTTAACTCTTTGCTTAATTTTCTTTATGTTTTTTTTTGTTTTTTTTTTTAAATTTGGGAACAATTATACAATTATAAGCTAATAGTTAAATAAAATTTAATTGGAATTATTATAATACATATATAACATTTTTTTTTTTTTTTTTTTTTTTATTCTCCAATTGTTGGACTGACAATCTACTGTTAATACTTTTAAATTCTAAAATTAAAAAAAAAAAAACATAAATTTCTTTACTTAATCTTAACGGGTTAGTATCCCTTATAAATATGTAAAGTTTTGGTTAATTTTTATGGATAGAAATATTATATATTTGTAAATCGTTTAAATGTAAATAACAGGAAACAATATTACTTGATAATAATAAACAAAACAAACAAACAAACAAAAAAATAAACAACTAATAAACTATCTTATAGATGAAATTATTTTTATATGGTATTCCTTCTAATTTGATGTCATTCTTGTTCAAACAATTTTTTCTATTTTTATGTTAGTATCAAACATAATCTAATAAGTTACTGTTGTGTTGGGTCATTGATAATATTAAATTTTAATATCGTTCAATGTAGCATTTAGGTTTGGTTGTTTTGATATATGACCTGCTTTGTCATCAACCTAATGTTGCATGTTTCACTCAGCGTTACATTAGGGATCTATTTGTGTAATTAGGTATTACAGTTTACTCATAACATTTAGAATAGAAGATTGTTGCATTGGTAAATAAATTTTAAAAAAAGAATAAAAGATATGCTTAATAAAAAAAGTGTAATAATAAAAGAAATGGAATCTGCTTTAAATTAATCTAGACTCGTATATACTTAAATCTAGATTCTGTGATATACACTCTAAACAGTGTTTAGAAAAATATTTTATTAGTTGATTTGAATGAATTAAATAATTGTTTATCAATATACATAAAATTGAACATATAACGCTGAGAACCTTAAATTGCTGACATGCTAAGCAGTGCGCTGTTCACATATGAATACCTTAATGAAATGAGAAAGTTATAAATATATATTTAAAAAGTTTATTTTGGCGTTTTAAAAGTTGTTTTTTAAAGTTATAATTTAAATTTTAAATCGTTAATATACTAATACTTATATATTTTAATTTTTAAAATTTTTTGACCCAAATCTCTTTATCATTTTTTAAAATCATATTAATTGAAATCATATGAATATTTTAGGCATCAAAAAGTAAAAAGGAAACTATTTCATTTTTTTCCATACCTGAGTTTGAAGAGTGGAAAGAAGCAACTCCAAATTATAAATCATGGCACATAAAGTACTACAAAGGTTTGGGTAGTTCAACAAGTATAGAAGGTAAAGAATATTTTTCAGATATGCAAAGACACAGAATAGTTTTTGAGTATGATGGGCCCTCATCTGATGAAGCACTAATTTTGGTAAGGATTTTTATTTTGGTTTTGACCTAATTTTTTTTAGTTTGCTATTAGGCAAAATAAAGATTTTTTTTTTTAAATATGCTGAAATATGGATAATTATTATTTTGAATGTCTTTATTAAAGAATAAAAAAAATTATTGAAAAAATAAATACTTTTTGAAAAATTCCTAATAAAAGAGCTTTCTCTCCGAGATGATGATCCCTTTTATTTTGAGAAATAAAGGGGATCAAAGGGTTGCAAAAAAAACCTTATTTAAAAAAAAAAAATATATATAAAAAAACCATGGTTTTTTTTTATTTAAACTTTAAAAAAAAAAAAAAAATAGCCATGTTTAGTTAACTTTTTCAATTGAATAAAAGCATTTTACTTGAGTAAATTATATTTTCTATTAACATTACTGCTGTAACTCGTCAACCAATACATCATTATTTAATGTCCCAAATAAAGAAATAAGTCACTACTCCCATCTTTTTTCTTTACTTGGAATGAATTATTCCAAAAGTTGAAAAAATTATTTGAATTCCAGCACTAGAAGCTGGTGCATTTAACAAATCTTCAATATCTGTGATGTTGTAATGTTGCAGGACAGAGATTTTAGAGATTTCAACCATTCTGTGATTTTTTAAAACAGATTCGCTAGTTTTTTATTTTTATTTTTTTCAGTTGATAAAAATTTATTGTCACTTATTTTTGTTTGATCTCTTTGCAACTTATTTAGAGCAACTCTAATTGGTTTTAATATTTTCAACATAAAAATTTGTTTGGTTTAAATTGATATTTTTTTGATTGGTTTAAACCATTTGAATTAATCCTATCAACCCTGTGAGAAATATACGAAAGCAATGTAAGTTTTGTTGTTTTTTAACTTACTAATGTTGTTTTTGAACAAAGAAAAATAGATTGTGATCAGAAAGTATATTTGTGACAGCAAAAATAGCTCAACTTGTTATAACATATGCTCAGCATGTTGCAAGATGTTAAAAAAACACCTATAGAGTGATTGGGGTGTTGCAACATAACACTATTCTGCCCTACTTACAAAATAGACAGTAAATGAAAAAAAATGAAAAATGACTTAGGACCGGAATTTACTTCATTAACAGATATTCTCTAATGGTACAAAGCAAAAAGACCGTATTCGTTTTCTTTCTTACCTAAAACATGCTAACAAATTAATTAATAATTTTAGTACATAGCAAAAAGACTGTATGTGCTTAATTATGATAATTATGATAATAAAAAATTTAAAAAATCAATAAAACCTCAGAAAAGCTCTTTTTTGAAGTTAATTGATGATGTTTAAAAAAAAAAGAGTGAGTAAAAAAAAAACTAAGCCGACTGGTTGACTAAATACAATTTTTGTTTTTTAAGAATATCTCAAAATGGAAGTTTTGCGGTTACTATCTATTTTAAATGTATGGCAGTATTATAGTTTATATAAGTATGTATACTATATAAGTTTTATCATAAAGTTGTTTTAAGTATATTTTTAAAATACTTATAATTGTTATTATTGTATAATTATTAAAATATTTAAATTATTTTTAGGCATTTAGTAAAAAATGTGCAAATGAAAGGAAAAATTGGCTAGACAATGGACTTGCTGAAAGAAAATTACGACGAGAAGCAGGTCTACCTGAAGTTTATCTTTATGAAAAAGGAACTCGAACTGTAACATACCAAGATTTCATTAATAAAGAGCTTATTCTTTTTTCAAATACTGATAATGAACGCTCAATTCCTTCACTTGTTGATGGTATTTAATTAATTTGTGTAAAATAATTTTGATTTTATAAAATCATTTTAAAAAATTAAAATGTGTCAAATTAAAAGTTTTGCTTAATGTGTCAATTTTTAGTTTCTTTCAAATTTTTAATTTATAGTAATTTATTATTTGCTAGGTTTCAAACCTGGTCAACGGAAAGTTTTGTTTACTTGTATGAAAAGGAATGACAAAAGAGAGGTTAAAGTTGCCCAACTTGCTGGTTCTGTTGCTGAACTATCAGCATATCACCATGGTGAAGTAAGAATTTTATGGTGCAAGCTAATATTAGTTATACTAATAGTTTTGAAAAAAGTTTTTCTATAATTTTGGTCAAAACTTAATTTGAATCAACATATATGTATGAATATAGGGTTAAAGATTGAATAGTTACTAATTGATTACAAGGAAGAATGTCTTGTACTTTTAACCTTTAGGTTATTGTGCTGCTTAAACTGTTTTATAATGCTAAATAAAACAATGTTATATCTAACTCATTTAAACACAGAAAAAAAAATTTTTTCTTCTAAAAGGTTTTTAAAAATCTGTCTAAACTTATTACTTGTGTCAGTAATGTTTTTCAACATATGAATTCATTTAGACTAATGTTAAGGTTTCTTTAAAGTATAGGATTTCTGTTATAAGGTTAAACATCAGTTAGTTTATATATATATATATATATATATATATATATATATATATATATATATATATATATATATATATATATATATATATATATATATATATATATACATATATATATATATATATCATCTTTCTTATTGTGTAGATGAGTTTGATGGGAACAATAGTAAACTTAGCGCAAAACTTTGTAGGCAGTAATAATCTAAATGTGCTGCTTCCAATTGGTCAATTTGGTACTCGACATGTTGGTGGTAAAGATAGTGCTTCTCCTCGTTACATTTTTACAATGATGAGTTCATTAACAAGACTTGTTTTCCCAGAAAAAGATGATGCGGTCCTAACTTACCTTTTTGATGATAACCAGAAAATTGAGCCAGAATGGTATTGTCCTATAATTCCAATGTGTCTTGTCAATGGTGCTGAAGGTATTGGAACTGGTTATTCTACTAAAATTCCAAATTTTGACATAAGAGATATTGTTGAAAATGTAAAAAGAATGATTAATGGTGAAGAACCACAGCCTATGGTAAGTTTTTGTGTGAGTTTGTGGATGATCTTTGATTATTTAATTATAGAGTTATTTTTAATGTAATACATTTAGTAATTAAAAGGCATTAATTTTATAGTTTCCTTCATATAAAGACTTTACTGGTGAAATTGTGCAAGAAGGAGATCAAAAGTTTATATGTCAAGGAACCATAAATATTATAGATGAAACAACAATCGAAATAACAGAGCTTCCTGTCAGAACATGGACTCAAGCTTATAAAGAAACTGTTTTGGATGTATATCTTTATGGAAATGAAAAATCTCCACCATGTATAACGTAAGTAAAAGAAAAAGTACATACTAATCTTATTTAATATGTATGCTTTGGTTACATTATATATATATATATTTTTTTTTATTTAAAATTATTTTTATAAACTCTCAACCCTCTTTAAAAGACAAACATTAAAAACAAGGTCACTGTGTAACAAGTCGAGCATGGTAGGTATGAAACTTAATACTTTTAGTCCTTTACCATTTAAAGATGATCATAAGACTTATCTTTAGAGATTATAAAGAGTATCATACAGATTCAACTGTAAAATTTGTTATCACAATGACACCTGAACAAATGGTTAAAGCTGAGGAAGAGGGATTGCATAAAAAGTTCAAGTTGCTTTCATCGATAAATTTATCATGCATGGTTGGTTTATTGTGTATTTTATTACTTATTTCTTCTTTTTTTTATTTTTTCATTTTTTTTTTTATAAAGTTATGCATCTCTTATAATAGTATATTTAAAATTTTTAGAAGGTATGGCATTCCTAAATTATAGATTTAAAATATATTCAAAAATAAAGTGTTTTATTTATGTGTGTGATTTTTGATGTTGTTGTTGTTAAGTTTTTTAAATATTTTACCAGGTCTTTTTTTCTTTACAAAACCTCATTGTTCTAATAACCCTTCAGTGATTTGTTCTAGTAATCCTTCAACAGTGAAATGGTCAGTGTTTTGTTGGCAATAATTTTTTTTACTCACATTGCATTAATTTCTTAACCAAATCAATTTTGCCACAGATTTTGTCATTCCAAAAAATCATGATTCCAAAAAACATAATTATTTCTGAAAGTTTTTTATTTTTTTATGGAAAACAATGCCAGAACTTTCCAGAAATGAAAGAAAATTTTGTTTAAGTACGCCTGAATATTCCAGTTCAAATAATATATTTAGAAGCTGTTAAATTTCATTTGTATTTTTTAAAAAAAATTTCTTATAATTTAATAAAAATATTATTTTGGAAGATTATTACTTAGGTTGAAATTTTTTATTAATATTCAATTGTAATAATTAAAATGTTTTAGACTTTATTTTTACACTAATTATTATTTTTATTTTCAATATTTTGTGTAATTTTTGATTAGGTTTTATTTTATTAAATATTATGTTATTGTAATTTTTTTAATGTGTCTTATTATGTTTTTATTTTTTAGGTTCTTTTTGATGAGTTTGGATGCATAAAAAAGTATGAAAGTCCAACAGAAATTATGAAAGCTTTTTTTAATGTTCGAATGGCTAAGTATAATGAGCGGAAAAAGTTTATTTTGGGAATGCTTGAAGCTGAATGTTCAAAGTTGGAAAATCAAGCAAGGTTTATATTGGAAAAAATAGAAGGAAAAATCATAATTGGTATAGTAGCATTAGTAGATATTCTTGTTTTTAATTCTTCTTTGATCTCTATCTAACAACAAAATAATGGTTTATGATAGAAAATCGCAGTAAACGTGATGTAATCACCACACTTGTTGAAAGAGGGTATGTTTCTGACCCAGTTAAAGCATGGAAAGCCGAAGTGGACAAATCTGGTCATTTAGAAGATGATAGTGAGGCACCTACAACAGATGTAGCTAGCTCATCTTCATCACTATCTGGACCAGATTTTGCATATCTTCTGTCCATGGCTATCATGAGCTTGTCTCGTGAGAAAAAAGAAGAGTTACTCAATCAGAGAGATGAAAAAGTAATATTTATTTTTACAACTTTTTTTATAGTGCAGTTCAACTCAAAAAATTAAATAAGTTTTTTCTATTTTTTGTTTGTGTGTAGTTTATAATTTACTAAACTAAAAAATGTTATTTTTAATTGTTTAATAATATACAGAAAAAAGAACTCAATGCGCTTAAACAAAAGACACCATCTGATTTGTGGACGGATGATCTCAATAAGTTTTGTGAAGAACTTGAGGTGCGTACATATTATATAGACTTCTTTATTCTGTTATTTTAAATTTTTTACAGTGAAAATACTTTTAAAAATGCAATACCAAAAAGAATTCTGTTTTTAGCAATATATTTTTAATATTTTAAAGTCATAAAATATATCAGTTGGTCTTGTGTAAAAATATTTCAAAATTGTAGTTAAATGTTTCAAGTTAAACAAACATCTAAAAATAAAAAATTTGCTCTTCAAATGAAAATAAAATTAAAATAAAAGAACAGTGTGTATATGGGGGGAAGAAAGGGGTAAGGGAGCACTATTATCATATCATTGTTTAAAAAAAGATTTTTTATTTTATTTTTTATTGTCGATATAGGCTTGAACATCAGTTTGTTAATACATTATATAATTACATATGTTTGCATAAACTATTTTACAAAATCATGATGAAGCTTTTTTTTTTTTTTTAAATACCACTTGTGAGAGAGCTTTTAAATTAAAAGATACCACCTATAAGAGAGCTTTTAAATTAAAAAATACCACCTATGAGAGAGCTTTTAAATTATTAAAAAAATACCACCTATAAGAGAGCTTTTAAATTATAAATATACTATTAAAGATTTTGCAAGTTTATGTTTGTTTATTTTCTATTTTAGAAGTACATATGTTGTTACAAAATACTTAATTTAAAAAAGAAAATTAAATTCAAATTTTAAAAAATTTGCAGCTCTCAGAATTAGATATTAGATTAAGGTTGGCATTTATTGTCAACTCTAAACTATTTTCAAAAAAATTTTAACCAAAGTTTTCACTATAACAACATAGAAATGATGACGATTAAAAATCACTGACCTCAGTTACTTTTAGGTTGGCATTGCTGAATGCTAACCTCAATTCTGAGGGCTATCATATCCTAATTCTGGGGGCTATCATATACTTTGCTATTTACATGCTAAAAAGTTACTTTGTTTTTAATATTTTGTATGTCTTAATGAAATATTATTTATTTTGTCATTTCAGTCTTATATCAAACTTTTAAGCTACTAGAATGTACCTTTTAGGGAAAATAATATCTTTTAAAAAAGCTTGCTAGTCAGGCTATTTTGTGAATTGCAAATAATTGTTTAGTGAATGTGTTTTTGATCATCTGTTACATTTGCTTACAAAAAGCTATTCTGTTGTCTGTTTGTGATAAAAGGAAATGTTTGTCAAGAGTAACAAATGCAAGTAAAATTATTTTCAGCACTGTTTGAAAATATATCAAGAAAAACTTAATTGAAGGTTTAATAAGTCTTACTATGTGATGAGATATTTGCCTTGATACTTTGAAAGCTTTGCCTAGTTCTAAGATGGTAGAGCAATATTGTTATGGGAAAAAACATTTTCCGAAAAACTATGTCATCCAAAAGTATGGGTTTTTAAATAGTTTTCGGAAAAGAGTAATTTTTTGAACATTAAATTGATAATTTGACCATTATTTGAACATAAAATTTTGTTGTCACAATTTTACTTGTACACATTAGTTTTGTTTCTGTTTATTTGCATTAATAGTTTCTGTTATTTTTTCTGTTTATTTGCATTCTGTTCATTTACATTAACTTAACATGACTATTTTTTTTTGATTGCACTGACCATAATATGTTTTTTTTTTAATTTAAAGAGGGTTGAAGAGCAAGAGAAAGAACTAAATAGAGCTGTTGATGCTCTTTCTAATAAAAGTAATAGTCGCTCTACTAAAGGTAATAAAGCTAAAAAAGTCCCTGTTAAAAGTAAAGATATAGCAAAAGCTTTTGAGAAAAAATCTGACACCAAAGTTTTGCCAGTAAAAGATGCATCTTCTAATGTTATTAAAAGTGAACCAAGTGAACAAAGTCAAGAAAATGATAATGAAGATAAAGGAGAGATTTTATCTCTTGCTGACAGACTTAAGAAAAGTAAGATTTTATTTTTATTACTTTAACTTTAACTTTTGTTATGTTATACTCAAAAATTTTTTTACAAAAATCTATTTTTTTTAATAATGGTTTTTAATGAATTAGTTTTTCAAAGTTTTGATTAGACACTAGTTATTCTTGTTACCAAGGGTACCAGATGCTTCACCAAAACTTTAAAAAATACACAGAATAGCAGGACATAGATTAATATTTAAATCAAACCTTGATAAATGATCCTTATAAACATTAAAAATAAGTCAAAACTACCTAATTAGAGTAGCCTGGAACCTACTTATTCCAACAAAAGCCCATTCAAGTGATAATGTCAATAGTTATAACTTGTTAAAAGTGTTTTTACTTTATTAATGTCTAAAAATTATTGTTAAATTTACCAAGTTGATGATAACAGTATCTATAATCTAACAAACTTTTCTGAAACAAATGAGGAATATTTTGATGTTTTAAATAATGCTATAAAAATACAGACACTACAAAGTTGTTGTGCATAGAAGTTTAGTGATGTGTGATGTAGAATAGAGTATCAGGGGTGTGGTTGGGTTTGTTTGTCAGTATATTATGGATTTAATTAATTTATGAAGTTTTTTTTTCTTTCAGTTATATACTAATCAAATATGTCTGAAAAGTATATATAAACTATTATTTTAAAAGTATTGGATTATTTTTCATTAATTTTCAATCTCGCTACTTACTTATGTATAAATCTCGCTACTTACTTATGTATAAAAAACTGTTTGATTACAAAATTTTAAATCATTTGAACTGAGAGTCAAAGGTTTGTTTTCAGTTTTATATTCACATAATTACTATCATTCTTTCTATTGACTGAAAGACAAAAATTTTTTTGGTTAATCAAGCACTGTTTGAATCACTGAGTACTGATTCAATTAGCTCTAGTAAAGCCAACAATACTATAAAATTTTTTATTGCACTAGCTCAAAATGTTGAAAAAATGCTTCAAATTTTGAAACATGTATTGTTGCAGAATATTAAAAAGTCTTCTTTTTCCTCATTGATTATGATAGTAACATCAGATTAAAAAAACAACTACAGTTAAAAATATTATTAAAATAAAAATTTTATTGTTGCAAAAAATCAATGTAAAAAAGTGCTGATGATGCTAAGCTTCATTTTTTCCAGTTTACTAAATCTTTTATCTTACCTCAGAAGTTAGGCTCCAGAGACCTCTAGAAAAAATCTTCAACAGGTTCATTAACAAAGGTATGTCGATGATTCCAACTCTAATTCAAGGGTCTGATCTTATAACTTTTCTTAAAGGTAAGGCTAAACAATTTGCAAAAAACTTTTCTTCCAATTTGATTCTTAAATCTAATAGCTGCACTCTTAATGCCATTCCAGTTAAATAGGTTAACTCATTGTTAGACATTCAAATTGCTCCAGCTTTGAGTCTAACAATTTCCAACATCTCATCTTGAGTCTAACAATATCCAACATCTCATCTTGAGTCTAACAATTTCCAACATCTCATCTTGAGTCTAACAATTTCCAACATCTCATCTTGAGTCTAACAATTTCCAACATCTCATCTTGAGTCTAACAATATCCAACATCTCATCTTGAGTCTAACAATTTACTCTCTAACAATCAATATGGTTTTCTTCTTGTTCTATGCTAACCTGCTAACTGCTGTGACTGAAAAGATTCTATTGTGCATTAGGCGACGAGGAAAGGGCTATCGCTCTTGGCATATCTAAATCTTTTAATAAAGTTTAGCATGCTGGTCTTTTCCATTAATTTGCTTCATATGATGTATCAGGGAAATTTTTGGAGATTATCAAATCAATTCTTTCTAATCGTTTATTTGCTATTTGATGACTCAACTTCATACTCCTGTCTTGACAAAAAGTCTTCTCTTTTTGATCATTAAAACAGCTTATCTTAAATTAGATCTTCTGTAACAGCTTAGAGACTGGGACCTGCTATGATTTGTGAATTTTAACTCCAAAATAACTCAGTTTTTTACTGCAAACAACTTGCAGAACTGTTGACATTCCTGTATTAATGAATAACAACCCTTTTGCTAAGCTCTCTACTTATCATTCACTACTGACCTCTCATAGAAGCCATATATACAATTAATTGAAAAAGTTAGCATCTGCTAAGGTTACTTCTCTTTATTGTGCTTGCCATTATCTTACTTCTGATTCTATTCTCTATTAATCTTCTATTTGTCCCTGTACAGAATACTGTTGCCATAATTGGCCTGGTTCTCCTAATGATGCTTTTTTCTTTTAAGACAAGATCCAAAAATGTCTTGAAAACATCTGCCAAGCTTGAGCCTCTCTCCCATTGTCAAAAATCTTTTTCTCCTCTCTGCAAATACTATCATGGTCACTGCTCAACGGAGCTATTATCTCTAGTTCGGTCAACCAAAACTCATTCTTGCTTGACTTGTCATTTATCAAAGTCACACCCTTTTACTGTATTTGTCCATGCATGCTCTACAAACTTTTATTTGTAAAGTGTTTTTTTTTTTTTTTTTTTTTTTTTTTTTCGTACTTTGACCCTTTGGAACTCTCTCCTGTCTTGATATTTTCCTGACTCATACAAACTACAACTTTTTAAGTCTTCTGTCAATAATAATAATAAAAACAACAACAATAGCAATAGTAATAGTAATTATAATAACAATAATAATTAAAAAAATAAGTCACTTGTTTTTATAAACACAATAGCTAAATATACATATAAGTTAGTTACAAACAGTTGACTGATAAAACGTAACAACTAATAAGGACATAAAAAAGTTGTTAAAATTGAAAATAATAATAGTAAAGTTAAAAATGATAATAATTGTGGTTGCGATACATTTTTAAAATTAAAAGAAATAAAACTACAACAAAAAACATTACAAAAATATAAAAATTTAAGATAAAATAAAGAAAAACAAAAAACAATTAAAAAATTAGAAAGTTTAATATTGCATAATAATATTAAATATAATATTTAATATTACATGCATACACAAACATAAATATAAAGATATATACACATACTTACCCACATTCATAGATACACACAAATCAGCAAAAAAGTATTGCTTACTTTTTTCTTTTATTTGTATTTTTTTCTTCCTACTTAATTTTCCATTCGGTTTTTTTTAAACCAAGATTTTTTAAACTTTTTTTATCATTTTATGTTTTTGATTCTTCTCATTTTTTTCTAAAATATATTTTCCTTTAACAGTAATCTAATTCAACAATAATTTTTAATTTAAGATAATATTTGTTGTCCAGCAAGTATTAACTTTGTTTAGGTTAAAATTTAGTAAAAATCATAAGCATTCTTTTAAATTGTTTTGCAGATATCAGTGAAGGCAAAAAAAAACAAGCTCCGTTATCTTTTAAACCTAGCAAGCCCAAAAAAGCAAAATTTGTAGTTCATAGTGACAGTGATAATGAAGATGATGATGATGAATTTAAAATTGAAGATTTTTCCGGAGAGACAGAGTTTTCTGTTGATCCACCAAAGCGAGATACACGAAAAAAGGAAATCAAGGTGAGTTGTTTGTAAGCATAAAGTTAGCCTATGTAAAATTTCAAATTAGCATGAGCTACTTTTATGTGCTGATTTTCAAGATCAATTATTTTATAATGAAAAACTACCTGATCTTAATTCTTGTCTTATATATACTTGAGTATAATAATTCAATTTTCATTATTTATTTTAAATCAGCTCTTGAAACTCTTTTAAGATAAAAATGGTCCCAAGTTGTTATTTTCATAAAGAGTGCACATCTCAGCCGTTGCATATATATTGACCTATTAAATCAATTATATGCCCTTCAGTAGCCACTAAAATCATAAACTTCAAGAGATTCGGAGAAGAAAATCAACAAGAAATTAGGAGAACAAAATTTTTGAAATTTGGAAATTTAGATTTCTCTATTTATATCTAGCTAGCGTCCAAAATGTTTCCCACTATAACATTATAAAAATTCCCATTTATGTATTTCACCGATAATTAAGATGCACCTTAAAAGTAGTTTTTTTTTTATTTAAAATAAAAAGTCTGTTTTTAGCCACTAGTGGTGTTAAAATATATATATAAAATAATATATATATATATATATATATATATATATATATATATATATATATATATATATATATATATATATTATATATATATATATATATATTATTTATATATTTTATATATATATATATATATATATATATATTCAGGGTTGCCACCAAATCAGGGAAATCAGGGAATTCAGGGAAAATCAGGGAAATTTAAATACAATCAGGGGAAATCAGGGGTAAATGATTGATTTAGGAAAAAATCAGGGAAAATCAGGGAACTTTTTAATTTTTCTTTAATGTTTTGGCAATTTACAAAATATTCAAATACTTTTATTTGGAGTTAGCATGGTTTTGTCAGCATATTATGACCAAACAAGATCTTTAAATATTACATTTTATTTTTACTTAAGGTTTTTATAATATTAAAAGAAACTTTTCTTTTTTATATATAATTTTCAAAACCTTTTTAGAACCCGTAATAGTTAATCTAATGAACACCATTTTGGAGTCTTTAGATCAATTCCGCTCATCAGCATTAACTTTAATTTAATTAAAATCTTTTGAAAAAGTTCCTTAATTTACTACTAATCCGAGTTCTAATCGGTTCTGACGTATGTTAACTATACATAGTTGTCAAATCACAGTATTTCTATCAATTTTCACAAAAAATACTAGAATTTCGAACAAGAAAGAGCTTATAATTATGGAGAATTGCCAATAAACGATCAGAACAGATTATATTGTTAAACTATAATGTTCATTTCACCTAAAAAACGTATTAATATAAAATCTTTTTCAAATTTGGACAAGCGATCGCGATTTTAAGATGATTTTTTTTAAAAAAAAAAGAATTTTCAGTCTACGTTTTTTTGCTACTAACATTTATTTTTTATGATATCGCAAAATTTATCATTTTGATATTTTTTGCCTTTTCATAATTCACAGACCAGACCATTTATCGAAAATATGTTGCAGTCAACAAAATATCATACAGGCTCTATAATATTTTAAAAGTGCCTTAACTACACCGAGTAGGCAGTGTAAAAAAGTCTGCCAAGTGCAAAATATGAAAAGTTGAATTTAATTTGTCAAATATGCAGAAGAGTTATGATAAGTCACATGGGTGGCAAAAAACATGCACAAAAGTCAATGCCAGAATCTTGTGGCACAGTCTACAGAAGCAAGCACTTCAAACAGTAGATTAATGTGATAAAAGTTGTACATAAATTTACTCTGTTTTAAATGCAATACAGAATAATTTCTCATTAAACTCGTGTAATGAAAATTGCCTACTTTATCAGAAAATGTTCCCTGATAGCAATATTGCTAAATCTTATGAAATGAGTGAAACAAAACTTGGTTATATAATTAATTTTGGTATTGGGCCTTATTTTTACAGACTTTTAACTGAAAATATGAAAAAATCTCCTTATTATAATCTTTCACTTGATGAAAGCCTGAACGATTCTTTTAAAAAGAGCCAATTGGATCTAAATATTCAGTTTTGAAGCAGCAATCTAAATTATGTTGAATCCAGATACTTTGTCTTTTTATTAAAATTTTTATGGTCACTTCACAGAAAAGAATTTGCTTAAAAGTATGACTCAACTAAGTATGGAAGGTACAAATGTGAATTGGTCCCTTAATCTTCTTGAAATACAGGATGATCAACAAGAGCTACCTAAACTTTTTAACGTTGGAAGCTGTAACCTTCATCTAGTATATGATTTCAAATAGGGTTTTCAATCTGCTGAATGGAATATAAAGAAGTTAATAAAAACATCATACAACCTTTTTTATGATTCTTCGGCTAGAAGATCTGATTATGTAAAAGTTACTGAATGTGAGAGTTTTCCTTATGCATTTTGCTCAAAACATGGGGTTGTAGACTAAAAAGTTGCAGATAGACTTTGTTTTATTTGGGAGAATGTTAAAAAAACTAACCAAGTATTGGGAGACTCTTCTTAAAAGTAAGCAACCAAGATGAAAGGCTATGACAAGTGTTCGGGACAGAGTTGTTAACAAGGCCAAAAGTATCAAGACCAAGGCCACCCGTTACAAGTCCAAGATCAAGGGCAAAGGTTACAAGGCCAAGGACAAACCCAAGGCCAAGAGTTTAAGGCCAAGGCCAAGATTAAGAGTTTTAAGGCTAATGTCTAGGCAAACATTTTCAAGACCAAATACTTCAACTTTTGCCTTGCGTTAAGGCCAATTAACACAACTGTAAGTAGCAAGTAGTGTGACAATAAAACCACATTTTGTAAAAATAGACCAAGGTTATAGGGAGAATTAAACAAAATCAATAAGAAAATTGGTTTTTTTAAAGACCAAGGCCAAAATTTTTAAGGTCAAGACCAAGGCCAACATTTTCAAAGCCAAGACCAAGGCCAAGGCCTCAATTTTCGGCCTTAAGCCAAGGCCAAGGTCAAGGCCTCAATTTTCGGCCTTAAGCCAAGGCCAAGGTCAAGGCCAAGGACTAGCAACTCTGGTTCGGGAGAACAAAAGATGAGTTAACTTTGACTAAATTGAAGTTTTTTGGTTACATTGCAATTTTGTTGCAGAAAATCTTACTGAGATATCAAACCAATGCCCCAATGATTCTTTTTCTTTTTGAAGATTTGTTCTCAACTATTAAAAGTTTAATGGGTTTAAATATAAAACAAGATGTCCTTAGCAGCATTGTTAATGGCAGGCAACTTCAAAAATATGATTTTACAAAAAATGAAAACTTTCTGCTATTAAAATTAATGACAATTGGATTTGCTGCAGAACATGAAATAATCGAATTGAGGAAAAAGGATGCATTATCTCAGGATGTCATCAACAGTTTCATAGTTTCATAAAAGATTATGTCTCATTATCATTGGAATTCTGGAAAAAATATTTGAAAGATGTTTAAATCGAATTTCTTTTCTGAAAGCAACTGGTTGCATCAGTCCTATGTCAAATCTTTCTAAACAAAAAGCTGATCTTCTTATTCAACAGGTGAAATCTGTACTACATCTAGTTCTTTCGTGCTCACATATTACTTCAAATGAATGTGATCAAGCTTTCATACTATTTTTAAAGTTGTTAGAGGAAAGTTCATCTTGTATCAAAAGTATAAGTATAAGGTTTTGTCAAAAGTTTTGATATTTATTTTTACATTATATCAAGGGCAAGCATCAATAGAATAAAGGTTTCAGTAATACCAGTAATATGCTCAGTGAAAAAATAAAAGGAATGTCACTTATATCTCGTTACTTTATCAAGGATTTTATGGTGTCAAACAAGTTGAAGGCTCATAAAATAGAAATATACGATGAAAAAATAAATGTTGTTTGTAATGCCTCATTACAATATAAAAACTATTAGAAGGAAAATAGAAAACTTCAAGCAAAGAAAATAGCGTGATAGTGCTTTTAGGTCAAGAAATATTAAGACTTAAAGAAAAGCAAAAAGTATTTAAAGATGTATGTAAAACATACAATTAGAAATTTATTACATTCATTACATTTTTTTGAATTTCATTATCTTGTACCCGAGATAAGTCTGACAGGTTTTCAATGCCTATTGAACATATCCGTTTTAAATATACCCTAGTTCAAAGAAAAATTTCATATGTTGATTAAAGTATTTGATTATTTATTTTATTTTCAAGCAAATTGATTGGTTCATTACTCATTGGGGGATTATAGTATCTGTTTTTTAGAGTTAAAAATGCTCTGGGGTTATTGGAGAAGTTTAAATGTTAAGTTTGGGCATTTGAATGCTAGAAATATCAGGGGAAAATTAGCAAAATTCAAGGGGAAAAATCAGGAAGAAAAAAGCAAAATTTTAGCGAAAAATCAGGGAAAATCAGGGAGGAAAAAGCAAAATTTTGGCAAAAAAATCAGGGAAAATCAGGGAATTTTGTTCCTAAATAATGGTGGCAACCCTGTATATTATATATATTATTTATATATTATATATATATATATATATATATATATATATATATATATATATATATATATATATATATATATATATATATATATATATATATATATATATATATGTATATATATATTATTTATATATATATATATATATATATATATATATATATATATATATATATATATATATATATATATATATTATTTATATTTATATATATATATATATATTATTTATATATTATATATATAAATAATATATATATGAGAGAGAGAGAGTATATAATAAAAAAAACACTAGATTTAAATATTTTTTGAATAAAAAAATATTTTAAGGAGTGCTCCAAGACCCTTGATAGGTCTCTAATATTTAAAAGAAAAATGTTCTTCAAAAGTATGCCATGTTGGTTCCAAATGAAGTGAAATAATATAAAAATTTCAAAATTAATTATTATTTTATAAAAAACATATTAAAAAAAAACTATTATCAAAATTATTCTTTAAAAATAAAAATATAAAAGTTGTCCTTGATTGGCAGCACTCTTCTTCATTTCCTATAACTTTTTTCTCAATCCTTAGTCCTATACTTTTTTTAATTTACATTAATGATCTCCCTGAAATTCTCACATCTAAGTTGGCATTGTTTGCTGATGATACTACTAATTATTCCTGTCTAGACAAGAAGCCAATGCTCTCTGATTGCTTAGAGTGGGCATTTGAGCTTGAAAAAGGCTCTTAGTGGCTGTGAACTTTGATTCAGATCACACTTTTTTTTTTTTTTTTGATCCAAGTAAAACTTTTTTTTTTTTAATTTTGTTTCTTTTGCTAATTGTTATCGCAACAATCTAGATCTTCCTATATTTATAAACGGTAATGTACTCTTACTTTCTATTTTTTTTGGAAACTATCAAATCCATTGCAAAATTAGCATCTGCTGAAGTTCCATCTCTTTATCGTGTTGGCCACTTTCTTACTCCGAATTCTATTCTTTATCTCTATAAGTCTTTTATTATCTCCAGTTCCATTAGTTCCATTAACTAAAACTCATTCTCCCTTGATTCATCATTTAGCGAAATCTCATTCTCTCACTGTATCGGCCCCTGCATGCTTGAGAAACCTCTATTTGTCTAGTTTTTTTCCCTTCTATTCTTTTTTTTCTAAAAGTCTCCCAACTTAATAGTGGTTGCATGCAGCCTTGTTGGGAGTGAATCAGGACTTAAAAAAATAAGTCTCAAATTCGTCCTATATGGAATACTGTTGCCATATCTGGAGCGGATTTTAGAATATTGCCCTTTTTCTTTTTGACAAGGTGCAAAAATGCATTGTAAATATAGTTGGAACTGCTTTCGCAGCCAATCTTCGACCATTGTCACATCATTATAATGTTGCTTTTAAAATTTAGATAATTGTTGGCAATTTTGAATAAAAAGTTCACAAGAATGGATTTTAATTGATTACCATCTAAAATTCATTCTTGTGTTACTCGTCATTTAATTAAGTCACATCCTTTTACTTTGACTGTTCCTGAGTGCTCAAAAAATTCTTACTCGTCTAGTTTTTTCCTTGAACAGCAGTTCTTTGGAATTCGCTTCCTTCGTCTTGTTTTTTTGATTCATATAACTTGCAATCTTTTAAGTCGTCTGTTAAAATATATATATCAATGGTTAAGAGCACAAAGGGAATACGTCCACTAACCATTGTTTTGAGAAACCTGAATTTGAAAGTTTAAAAACATACAATAATTCATGATATTTATTTATTGTCATGATTTTTAACCAAATGCATTCCTCAATTAATTCTGTCTTGTTTTTTACTATTTTATTTTCATTTCTTTTACATACTTTAATACCTAATTTGTTTAATGTTTACCTAATGTTTAATGTAGGGCATATTCCCTTTGTGCTCTTAACCATCGATATATATATTTTTGCTTTTGTTATTGTTTGTACATACTTTATTTGTGCCAAAAGGTCGAAAGAACTATTATCTAAAATTATGAAAATATAATTGCTCTAAAAAGCTCTACTAAAGTATACATAAATAAGAAAAGAATGAAGATCAGGTAATTTTCTATTCTGGAAATAGTTTTAAAGATCAACTTTTTTTTGTTTTAATGTCTATTGTTTTTATCTATTGCATATGTTGTATATTGTGTAATATATACATATATTGGTATAAACAATGTATGTGAGCATGAAATTAAATTAACGTACGCAAAACGATAATGAAAGAATACAAAATCATCTTTTTAGAAAATATGTTAAGGACTTGTTTTTCTCTGCACAATAAAAATATATATTTATTATAAATTAAGTCCCGGGCTTTTTTTTTATGACCAACCCCATCCTCTCTCTTTTTTTTTATGACCAACCCCATCCTCTCTCTTTTTTTTTATGACCAACCCCATCCTCTCTCTTTTTTTTTATGACCAACCCCATCCTCTCTCTTTTTTAATTTCTATCGCTTTTATTTTCTATCTTTTTTAATTTTTTTTATTCTTTTTTTGTTTTGCTTGTTAGAAATATTTCGATGATTCTGATAATCCAAGTGATAATGATAATGTTTCTGAAGTTTCTCCAACTGTTTTACAAAGTAAAAACCTTAATGTATCAACTGATTCTGAGAATTCTGACGAGGCCCAAACACGTGCGTTAATTCAAAAACTCTCTCCGGTGAAGAAAAAAACATATTCTGCTGATAAAAAAATTCAATCTGTAGTTGAAGATAAAGGGACCGAAAGCAAGCCAATATTGCTTAGTGATTCTCCATCTAAGAGTAAAAAAACAGAAAAAAAGAAACCTGACAAAAAGTTAGCAAAAAAAACCGATGTTAAACAATCTTTGATATCATTTGGACCAAGTATACCTACTGCATCAGCAAATCTGGATTTAGAAAAAAAGGTATTTAAATATTATGCTGTGTCTGCCTTAATTTATAAATACGTAATTTTCAGGAATTTTCAGGATATTTCTATAAATTTTTTTTCCGGATATTCAAATAGTTTTCTTGAAATGCAAGTTTTTTTTTGACATCAAATAGTTTTCTGGAAATCAATATTTTTTTTGGTTTAACAAATAATTAAAACAATAAGGGTATCGTTCATCAATTACTCTAGGCTATATTTTACGTAAGGCATTATTTGTACAAATAATTTTTTCTTATTAGTCCGCGTAAATTTTATTATTAAAGGGATTTTCAAGTGCCGAGACAAACTGGAATAATTGCTCAGCTTTACGTGAATAAAAATTTGAGCAAAATCGCTAAAAAATTTATTCACGTAAAGTTGAACAATTACTTGAAAAACGCTGGGTAAAAGAATTTTTTTTTTTTATTTACCCGGCCTATTTGAAAATGTGTGTATGTATTTAAATTAAAAAATAAGCTTTGAGTTGATTGAATTACCAAATCAATTTATTTATTGAGATATTAACAAAAAAATATTTGTTGTTTTGCCATTATACTTCCGAGTTGATAGGTTAATATTAACTTGATATTTTTTGTTGTAAAATATCTGGTTTGAATAATAAATGTACTTTACCGCAGAGTTTTTTAAACGATTTTCAAACAATTTCACAATTATGTTTTTAGGTTTAATAATAAGGTTTTTTACTTGATAAAACGTTCTCCTTTTAGTTCAACTGGAGACTTGTGAAGTTGTAATTAAACAAAGAATACTGCTTTTCTTTTTTTTTATTTTATTTTTGTTTCTATTTAAATATTTCGTTTTCATTTACCGTGAAATCGATTTTATTTGCACTATTTTCTTTAAATCCAAACAAAATAAAAAAAATTTGGTTTTAAGATTTTATCAGCAAAACTTGTATCATGATTTTTAAATTTCATTATCTTATATTTATGGCTCTAATATTAATTTTGTTTTTAAAATAATTTAATTATAAGTTAGACTTTAAGCGTTTACTTATTAAGATTATTTAAGTTATTTTTATTTGTTTGTTATAAGTTTTATAAATGGTTTTATATAAACATTGGACGTCATTTATTATCTACACAACGCTAGTATTTATTTTAAAAACCAAAACTTACCTTCGAGAAAAAAAATGGCGTCAAAAATTATAAAGTTTTTTGGTGTTTTGATAAATACTTTGTTTTGAAATGTTTAAATATGAAACTTATTTTTTTAAGTTTATTAAAGATATGTAAACACTCAGCACTTAAAGATCACTTAATTATTTTGACTATTTCGCTTAAAAATCTAGTTTAATTTAATTTATAAACTCTGTTTCTAAGTATTGATTTTTTTTTTTATATAAAAGAATACCTGCCAAAAAATTTCATTTCAAACACGAGTCTTAAATACATAAAAAGTGTTTTCATTCCTTGGATTTTTCCGGTTGTTTTATAAATATTTTCCGGATTATATTAGGAAAAAAATTTTCGGATTTTTTAAATATGACCAGGATAATCTCTGAATTTTAAACTTATTAGGTTACTACAAAAACAAAGCCGACTGTATCTAAATCAGTAGCTAAGCGTCCACTTTCAGAAGATGAAAGTGATCCATTATCACCTAAAACGAAAAAATCTAAAAAAAAAAATAACATAAAACCAAAGCAAGATGAAGACAAGCCACCGAAATCAAACAAACCAAAACCAGCAAAGGTGATTTTTTTTTTGTCTTATCTATTATGTCTTTTTTTATATCGTTCGCATTAAAATATTAATTTATAACACACAATAAGAATTAATACTTGTTTTTTCTTTAAATTTAGACAGTAATAAAAGCTTTACCTAAAAAAACCAAAAAATTGAACACTGATAGTGAAGGCGATGACGATTCTTTTCGTTTGGACGATATACCGGCAGTTGCTCCGCGTTCTCGAGGTGCTGGTCGTGCTGCATCTAAGAAAGTTGTATATAAGTTTAGTTCCGATGAAGATGACGATGCAGATGACGACTTTGCTGTTTAAGATAACCTTTAGTTCGTTGGTATCCTTTTCTGATGGAATCATTTTTTGCACTTTTAGTAATTTGATGTTGACTAAATCTAATTAATATTTTAAATGTAAATATCTTACTAGAAGAAAATATTTCTTTTAGAAAACTAATTTATGAACATCTTTATTTAATAAATTTAATATTTTTGTGTCAAGATAGTATTTTATTTGAATTCAATATACAGAGCAAACTATTTTGTCTCGCTTCGTTCAGTCATTTTAGTTTAAACAATTACAAATTATTTTGGTTTTTTCTATACTATATATATATATATATATATATATATATATATATATATATATATATATATATATATATATATATATATATATATATATATATTATATATTATATATATATATAATGTAGGGTAGCCGATTTTTTTTTTTTTTTTTTTTTTTTTTTTTCAATGTATGTGGAGGATTTAAATGCTAACTCATTCAATATAAATATGTTTAAATATCAAAAAATTTATGTTTTTATTTTTCAAAGTTATAATTTTTAGCTATGAGCCTTTTTAATTTTGCACTATTTTATATTAAGTTTCGATAGAGTATACCTAATTTTAAGCATTATTTTAGAGTTATAGAACCACAGTCTTATGAGCGCTTATGCTACAAAGTTAAGTTTTTCGGAAACTTTAGATTAAATGTGAAGTTTCGAACATATGTTACTTTACTAAATGAATGTTTTGAAAATAATTATAAATTTGGGCATTTATTAGGAAAATAAGTTTGGCCACCCTTTTGTGTTAGCAATGATTTGGGCAGTTATTAGGAAAATAATTTTGGCCACCCTTTTGTGTTAGCAATGATTTGGGCAGTTATTAGGAAAATAAGTTTGGCCACCCTTTTGTGTTAGCGATTGTTTTAGTTAAGTTGGTTAAGCTTTAAAACTGACGAATTATTTCTATTAAATACAAAGACTTCATCTTCAATAAAAAAATTTTTTTTGTTCTTTTATAACTTTTATTTTTGATGGGCTTGGTATATCTATGTTTAGCATGGCGAATTGCTTAACGAGTTATACAATTTTAACAATTATTAAATTTCATAAGTCATCAATCAATCTAATGAGTATGGCGTCTTTGTTGCGCTTACTAACTTCTGCTGCATAGTCTGCAAATTCGGAACTGTTAATTGTAGTCTAGTCCAAATAGAGTCAAGCCTGAAAAAAAATTCTATAAATTTATTATTTATTATACAATTTAAATTAATTATATAGAGTTTTATATAGTTTTAAAGCGTAATTTTATTTCGTTTAAAACGTAATCTACTTTAACTCATCCAAAATCCATTTTAGAGAATAAGAAGTTATGAAACTGTGTATACCTCACTTGGTATCAACTTTTCTCTAAAAGCGATCACAGTTGGTATGTCTATATATACTGCTGTCAATAATTATATAATCTATAAAATTGCCCTATATCTTCGAAACTTTGAGTATTAGAGCCTAACTATGTACAAGCTTTAAAAAATTTTAAAAATGTTTTCAGAATCCTGAATTCATATTGTATTTATTTATGATACTAGGTTGTTATAACTAGCTAATTAATTTAAAACATTCTGGAATCGTAATCAACTGTAAGCAAGAGCTGATTAGGATTGCCCTTGATGGTGTATTGTAATAAATGACAAAAACATTGTATCATAATAAACTATGAACTAATAAACGCGGATTTGTTTTGCTATAGTAAACTAAGTACTAAAAGGAACAATTCTTAATGTTCCACATCTTTAAGGAAAACTAATTTTAAAATTGTATAAACAAGAAAACTTGCATGTATACGTACAAATTCCTGTTGACTGCACTATGTTAGTACAGGTTAAAGTTAGTACTCTCGAGTCCTTAATACATCGAGGTAGAAATTTTATTTTATAAAGTAAGTTTTTTATTTAAAAAATTTCAGTTTATAAAATCCAAACTAATACCTTTTACAAAACATGCACGAAACTATTTAATTCTGCGTAACTTGCGCTTTTTTTAACTGAGCATTTAGAAAATGCGCAAGCCACAATAAAACAGCAGAAGTATATAATAGATGGAAGTTTAGGTAACCTTTTGTTTCGTAAACAATAAGAAAACGACATCAAGACTGTACTTAAACGCCTAATCTTTATACGTTAACGCACATAGGTAATGATTTAAAAATATAGTATTTTGAAAGTTTGCCAATATTATTCAAGAAAAACGTTAAAAATGGCGCAACGAAACGGAAAACAACAACTTTTTTATAAACTTTATATTAAATGAATGGAGTACTACAAGAATGAATGGAGTTATCATATACAGCTAATAAAACTCTAAACTTTATTTGTTTAGAAAACAATTTTTTTGACTTTTTGAAAATTGTTTTAGTTGTCTTTTTAATCGAATGTCGTGTTATGAATTGAAGCAAGAAAAGAAGCTTAAACTAAGATATGCTTTTAAAATCAAGTGATTCTATTTAATTACCGAGTTTTAATAAACCTTTTGCTGAATAATTGCATTTACTATGGGTTAAAACTTTGCAGCATATCCTTAGAATAATTCATTTTTTGATGTTGGTATAAAAATCATTTCAGTGAATTTTGTTATTTTTTGTCAAGTGAAATTTACTTTTTTTTTTTTTTCTTCCTTTTTTCATTGTCTGTTACAAGCATACTCCCGAGACGACTTGAAATTACTTTGATGTTTGCGGCTTGATGAACCTCCATCTGTTTTATATTTCCATGATAATATCAATAAGATTTAAATGTGGTGATATAAGTTTTATACTTTGGTGATAAATAAACCGAAAGCTCATTTTTGACAAATCGAGATTTACTAGGTCGACTATTTTTAAAGTCTGTTTACACTGAAAGTTTTCGTTTTATCTGTGAGTGAAATAAATATTTTCTAATTTTTTAAAGGAGAGGCTAATTTTCACTGAATTTTTGTTTTTAGTTTTAAGAGAAAAGTTCAAGTTTTTGTTATAACAATAAAAATTAATAAACGGGGGGGGGGGGGGGGTCTTAATAAGCTTGGAGTGGACGGGAACACATATGTGTTATATAACAAAAACTTGAACTTTTCTCTTAAAACTAAAAACAAAAATTCAGTGAAAATTAGCCTCTCCTTTAAAAAATTAGAAAAAATTCATTTCACTCACAGATAAAACGAAAACTTTAAAACAAACATGTACATGTTTGTTAAAGATAGCTGAACAAAATATTGGTTATTGTATTCTCTAATTGGTAAAATAAAATTTTACCCTCTAATAACTTCTAATACCTCTAATAACTGAAAGTAATAAGAAAATATAATAATAAACTTAGATAAATTTTACCTAAATGAACTTTGATAAATTTGTAGATGAAACTTAAATAAATTTTGATAAACTTGTATATTTATTATATTATCATATAAAATTATTTTATATTATATATTCCTAAAGAACAAAAATAAAAATTTGTCTGCTTTGGAAAAGTTTTTTTTTTTTTTATTTTTTATTTCTATGGCAACTCTTTGGATAATAATATAAAAAAAATAATAATAGAGGTGTGTCATGTTTTATTTGGAAGCAAAATTGATAAACATTTATTGAAGACATGATTCTTCGAATGTGAAATTTTGTTCTGACGAAGTTCGCTTTACTGATGAACTTTTTTTTTATAGCATGGTTGGTTAACTCTTTTTACTTCAATACATTTTGCTAATGTCAATACTAATATATAATCGTACAAAATATCACTGTTTAATAGAAAAAAATCAATTTCACTTCGATCGTCTTTTTTTAATATATAAGTTAAGGTACACTGTTAAATTTTTTTAAAATCTACACAAAGTGTTTAAAGGTTGAAGAATGATGTTTTATCAGAGTTAAGTAAAGAAATGTTTTGATGTCCTCCTAATCAACCTTATCAAGCTTTAGGGTGAAAAGCAATAACTCTTCAGTTTTCTTAGATTCACAGAAAACGTGTAAGTTCAAAAACATCATTATAAATTTTCTTTTTACTAAAGTTTCAATGTTTATAAGTAACAAGTTGGTATATAGATATTTTCTTTATAATTAACAAATTGGTATAAAGATGCAGTAACGAACCCCTGCACCAGCTTAAAAATTACACTTTCCATAAAATATTCCTTAATTTGTTTGGGACAACTTGTTGAGTTGTTTGGGATAACTGCATTCAAACTTTTTATTGAGTATGTTTTATAGACCAGCGACATTTTATTTTACGAGAACAACATTTACAGATTTTATTGAAAAAAATTCCATCACCAAGATAAATTTTATTGAAATTTTGAGATTTTTAGAGTAAAAACTCTTTTGTTGAAGTAGATTTTGAGACAGAGGTGTACTTGACTCATGGGTGATTAAAACGATGATCTATTTTAGCCGTTTTTTTTAATTAAAATTAACAAAGATTCCAACAACAACAATAGTATTATTAGACTTATTCGGCCTATCAAGATTTCGGGACTTATCAAATGTTTTTCGATATATAAATATTATGTACATATATATAAAACTATATAATCTAATGTGAAGTTTATAATATATACTATAAATACAAAAATATATATATAAATTCTTAGTTTTTTTTTAAAAAAGTTTCGAGTCTTAAATATAACTATTTCTGATTTTTTAGTATTCAATGAGATTTTTTGTTTTGCTCTAAGCCATTAAACAAGACTGGTCATATCCTGATTTATATATTTATTAAGTTTTTTGAGAAAGTTTATTAACTGAAGATTAGTATCATCAGCAAAACGTTTTTGAATGTTTGATAGAAAGATTGAGATCATTAATATAGATAATAAAGAGAAGAGGACCTAATATGGATCCCTGAGGTATACCAATTGAAACATTTTTAATATCTGAGCTGGTTCCATTTATAGTTACAAACTGTTGATGATCAGAAAGGTATGATTTGAATCACTGCAAGGATATACCACGTACACCATAATAGTTAAGCTTCGAGAGAAAAATTTCTTGGTCTACGTTGTCCAAAGCTTTTTGCAAATCGATAAAAACCCCACAAGCAAAATTGCCATTATCAAGTGCAACTCTTATACTTTCTGTTACTTCAATAAGAGCGTGAGCTGTCGAATACTTTTTACGAAAACCAAACTGGTGTTTATATAA